TGCACCATGCGAAGGGAGCCGGGTGTGGCTCTACCTTTACCGCGAAGTTGAAAGACTGGGCATCCCACGATTTCGGTCTTGAAGGTCCTCATCAGGACGTGGCAAATGAGGTGTTTTTCACACTTCGGGGATGTCTCAGTTGCCTCAGTTTTCTGGGGGCAGTGCTGGATGTTTGAGGACAGCCCCTTAACTTGTGACTTCCCCCGTGATCTCCCGGGAGGCAAGAGAGGAAATGAATCAGTAAGCACTTCTCCCAGCCCTTTTCACGAGCCTTCGGGATAAACTGTTGGAAAAAGGGGGCAACACGTGGGGTTTTGGATATGAAGAAACCAGGATCGAAGTAGGCGTCGGTGTCCTTCTTGCTCGACAAAGCTGTCCTGGACACATGGCCTGTGGGAGGGCATTTATTTGTCACTCACTCCGCACATCACAGCCAAGTGCACGTAGAGTGTAAAATGGGACCTTCTCATAATGACAAGTAAAGGTGGAAACTGGAAACGAAGAGCTTCAGCCAGCTGGAAAAAGGGGAAACGTTTGGGTTCGCGGGTTGGCACCCACTTGCATCTAGTGAAGGCCTGATTTCTCTTGGTTTGCCTAGATGGTTCCTTTCAAGGAATCACTTTTTTGCACGATGCCTTCACTGGTGGCCATGCGCACCTGGCCACCAGGGCCAGGCGACCGGGCCGCACCAGCCTGAGCTGTGGCTTATACACATACACTCCCTGGCAAGAAAACATCGTGTGCCATGACCCTGCACAGCATTCCCCGGGCTGCTCCACGGAGCACACCCTTGGACCCCACGGAGCATGGCATTGAGCTAGCAAAGACCTGGGGACGCTTGTTTGTACTTGAATCAATAGCTTCTCTGCCAACTATGGGAGGCTGGGTCCACACACAACCAAAACCGAGCGTTCGGAGAATTGCGCTCACAACACTAAAAGTGACTTAGAGACCCTCTAGCCTAGCTTGCCAAAAGGTCAGGTAGGGCAGCTTCTTTCTATAGAAGGTAGACAGTCAACCTTCTACCCCTGTTTGTACCACCTAGACCCAATCAACGGCCCTGGATGGGTTTGAGACGTTGCTTAAAAAGAGGACAGGCAGGCGTTGGGCCACATCATACATCTTTAACACCAAGAGCAGTGTCCTCAAATGGGGGCTAATCGGTACACCATTGCCCATCTCGGCTTTCCAGGCAGTCTTTCCTCCTCTCTCTCTCTTTCTCCATCCCTGTGCTTCCTCCTTTCCCTCCCTCCTTCATTCCCTCCTTCCCACCTCCCTTCCTTCCTCCCTCCCTCCCTCCCTCCCTCCCTTCCTTCCTTCCTTCCTCCCTCCCTCCCTCCCTTCCTTCCTTCCTTCCTTCCTTCCTTCTTTCCTTCCTTCCTCTCTCTCCCTCCCTCCCTCCCTCCCTCCCTCCCT